CCCCCCCTCCCTTCCCTTCCCTTCCCTTCCCTCCCCTCCCCTCCCCTCCCCTTCCCTTCCCTTCCCTTCCCTTCCCTTTTCCCGAATTCCCGGCGGTGTCACCTGCGGACCTCGGGATTGGGATCGGGGCCGGGATTTGGGATCAGGATTCGGGATCGGGGCCGGGATTTGGGATCAGGATTTGGGATCGGGGCCGGGATTTGGGATCAGGATTTGGGATCGGGATCGGGATTTGGGATCAGGATTCGGGATCGGGGCCGGGATTTGGGATCAGGATTTGGGATCGGGGCCGGGATTTGGGATCAGGATTCGGGATCGGGATTTGGGATCAGGATTCGGGATCGGGATTTGGGATCAGGATTCGGGATCGGGGCCGGGATTTGGGATCAGGATTTGGGATCAGGATTTGGGATCGGGGCCGGGATTTGGGATCAGGATTCGGGATCAGGGGCCGGGATTTGGGATCAGGATTCGGGATCGGTCCCGGCGCGGCCGCTCCCGAGCGGATCCCAGGCCCCCATCCCGGCCTCGATTCCCTTCCCGGGAATTCCCGGAGCTCCCTCGGCCTCTCCTCTGGGAAGGAGCCCCGAAAATAAATCTGGAAAAACCCCAGCGGGACCGGCTCCCTCCCAAAACCCTCGGAATTCCCGAATTAAATCCCGAATTAGGGATGGATCGTACGGTGGGGGCTCTGTGGGGGGGAAGAGTCGAAATTCCCCAAATCCCCCCAGGACCCGGCTCTGGCTCTTCCTGCTGCTGTTTTAACCAAAATCGGAGTTTTTCCAAGGGAAACCGAGGCAGGGGGAGGAGAACCCAAGGGGAAACCTGGGAGGGAATGGGATTCTGCTCCCCTCCCCTCAGGTGCAAAAAAAACCCGAAAATAAAGCTGGAAATGAGAGGAAAGTAAGATTTTATGGATGTTGGAAAAACTGTATTTGATTTGGGGTGAGAAGTGCTGGAATTGGGCAAAGAGCAGAGGAGGAACCGGGAGGTGACCTTGGCACTTCCCAACTGCTCCATGCAGATATTTAGGGAGAAAAAGGAGATTTTTGGGAAAATTCCGGCCACACGGCAGAGTTGTGAGTTTCCCTTCCCAGCCCCAATTTTCTCTGGTTTTCCCCCAAAATCCACCCCTTGGATTTATCTTTTCCCATAGGAAATGACACCGGGACAGGCAGAAACTTTAATTAATTTTCACCTTCATCATCATCATCATCATCATCATCATCTATTTGGGGCAAAAATTTTGGGAAAAGGGTCAAAGCCAGACCCGCAGCTGTTTTTTCCTGGGAAGCAGCAGGAAGCAGCGCCAGGATTCCACAATTAATTGGTTCTGGACTAATTAAACTCCAAGTTCCCTAATGAGGTCACCGAAGGCAAAGGGTGACGCCAGGACAGGGAGGATCCCACGCCCGGATTCCGCTTCCCAAATTCTGTTTTACTGGAGGTGAATCCTGAATCCTCCTGGGGAAATCCTCCACGTGCCAAACGGTTCTGGGGCTTTTAAACCGGAATTCCAGCAGTTTTAACTGTAATTCCAGGAGTTTTAACCAGAATTCCCAGAGTTTTAACCAGAATTCCAGGAGTTTTAACCAGAATTCCCAGAGTTTTAACCAGAATTCCAGGAG